CGCATTTGACTACATAATTATGTACACTATGAAAGCAGTGCAATCTGTTTTTTTATTTTATTTTTTTTTATCAACTGGAAGTGGTTGAGAGTTAACAAGCTTAAAACACGTTAAATCCTATTTATGCCTATACTTTGTAATCAAAAAATGCTTGTGCCTCAGAATAAAACTCTGTTTTCTCACTGGTGAATGGGACATGAAGTAATCTCTCCCTTGTTTTGTTACTTCTGATCTCTGAGGCCTGCTGCACAAAAACGAGTTGAACAAACTGGGTTGCAGAATAAGTTTCAGGTTGACCAAAATAAACAAATCCAACCTGATTAAGTGGTTTCAGAACACACTCTGTTAACTTGAGATTTGACCCACACCATTAGTGAATAACTCTTGACCATATGCAGCTAAAAGAGTGATGTGCAGCTAAACAGCCAATCATATGAGAGATTTAAAAATGAAGTGATGTTATTTAAGAAATACAATTTATTTAAATGCCTTTACAAGGCAGTAATTAACACTGCAGATGCAGCAAAATCCTATTAAGACATCAGCTTGAAGAAAATATCGTTATAGCAGAGTAAATCAATCCACTGATTTTAACTTACGATGTAAGTTTGTAAACGGCTCAAACGACGGTCATTTTAAAAGCTTTAAATTTAAACAGTCATACATAAATGTTCTTTAATATATAAAGGCACATTATTATGTCAGTTATTATTGATGCCAGTTGACAATGCAAAACTATTTGAATATTAGCACAAGTAGTAATAATTGTAATTAATATAATATAAATAAGTGATTACCTACAAAATACAATTTTGACTCAATAGTTTGTGTAAAAGGACTTTATTTGGAGTTTTAAAAAAGACTGAAAGTTCTTTAATTGCATCAGATAAAATATCCATATACTCACAGCTGATTGGTCCAGTTAGGGTTTGTGATTTCTAACCCAGAGCAATTTAGCTGGTTGACAAGTTATTGTGGTGACAAAACCCAATTAAAGCCAAAAATACTTATTAAGCCCGAAACCTCAAGGTTTGGTTAAAACCCTACTGGCCTAAGGTCTGCTTTGGGCAGTGAATATCCAGGCAAGATATTTAGCTTTAGCACCTGCTAGCCTTTAGCTAGCCTTTCTGAAATTGCCTTCTCTTTCTTTTAAAATAAAGTGTAGACATGTCCTTACACTATATTTCTTAGATGTGGGTTGGTTAAAACTAGTTCTCAACCAACATAATTCATTCACAAAGCTCTCATACACACCTGTAAACAAAAAGTTTTCAATTAGATGAAGATGAAATCTCATGCTTTCCATAGCCACAGATCAGATCATCAAATCTTTCTGGTCAGTTCTGGAGTGAGAACTTCCATCTCTAAATTGAGTGTCGATGATTGCAACGTTCCTTCTCTGTATTTTATTTTTTTATCATAGAAATTAATGGCTTTTTAAGTGTGTCTGGGTGCTGAATGTTCCAGACATGCACGCCATGTCTTGCTCGCTCTCTCCCTCCCTCTTCACTTTGCCAGCAGAGAGATGGCCTGTAAGCAGGTGGCTTCTGATGAAAAAATTGCACATTTGTCGCAGCAAGTCAAGTGGCACTGTCTGGGGACCACCTGTCAAATGTAATTTGGTCTTCTCAGATGGATCGGAGGCCAAAATGGAATGGCTCTAAGACACTAATGTGATGTGCTATGCTGGTGAGCTCACTCATGATGCAGGAGCCTCCACCATCGTCCCTGTCTTTACCCAGAACCCCATTTCAACCTGCTATTAACATGCATTTTCCTTGATCATATCACTGGTCAAATGAGATGCATCAAGTTTTCCATCTGTTATAAAAGTGTTCAAATGACCACATGTACAGATTTAATCAAAAGCTTTCTTTTATAGATTGACACTCTTTACTTTCTCAAGAGCACTTGTTTGTGCTTTTTAATATAAATTTATTCTAAACTATGTAGTGTTATTGCAGGTTCTTTTCTTATTATTCGTTTATATAAATTAGAACTTTATAATGTGTTATGCTTTTACTGCCTTCAGAAACTTTTTGTTCACAAAATTGGGATAAGGTTTTCTTTTCTTCATGTTTTTCATGAAAATTAGTCTGTTCATTAAACGTAAAAAAAATGTAAAAATATTTATAAAAATTTTAAATAACTGCTTTCTTATTGAATGTAGTTTCAAATGAAATTATTACTCCAGTCATTATTGCTTTTATTACTATATATTTTTTTGACATGGCATTTTAATTCTTGCAGATATTGCATTTTACAACAAGCCACAAAAAAAATCTCTAAATAAAAGTGTCAACATCTGAATTTAGTTTTTAAATAAAATAAATAATAATAATAAATCCACATCTAAGGTTTTTACGTCATTAAAGAATGCAATAAATTTTTCAAAAAAACTGTTCTCCTCAACCTCTGATGTTGGATTTAGTTTTCTCCAATTTTAAAAAGAAGACCAAATCTTTGAGCCACAACGAAATAGAGGGGGGTTGTGGGGAGGTCTAAGACAACAGTATTCTGCGCCTAGCAAGAATAGATGCAAAAGCTAAAATGTCAGCGTGTCTCCAGTTAAAAGGTTGAAAGATCGCACCAAAGATCGCAATTAAAGGGCAATCAGCTAACGTGGCCCCAAAATATCAGCTTTTATTACTATTACCATTTAATAATAATAATAATAATAATAATAATAATAATAATAATTAATATTAGAGTGATTTCTAAAGGATTATGTGACTCTGAAGACTGCAGTAATGAAGCTGAAAATTCATCTTTAAAATCACTGGAATAAATAATTAAATTAAACTATAAAGTACTTTTGAACAGTTATTTAATAGTGCAATAACATTCGACAATTTTACAATTTTTACTGTATTTTGATTAAATAAATGCAGCATTGGTGAGCAGGAGAAGCTTATTTTAAAACATTAAAAAAATCCTTCTTGACTGGTAGTGTATTTTAATTAAAATATAGATAATGAAATAAAAAGAGATGTAGTACTGTTCGAAAGTTTAGATAGGAAAGATTCATGTTTTTGAAAGAAGTCTATTATGTTTAGATGCTGTATTTGATCATAAATTGATTAAAATAGTAAAGTATTATTGCAGTTGGGCTGCACGGTGACACAGTGGGTAGCATGTCCACCTCACAGCAAGAAGGACGCTAGTTCTAGCCTCGGCTGGGTCAGTTGGCGTTTCTGTGTTGTTTCATTTTCCTTCAGGTTAGTTCCTTTATTCATCAGAGTTCGCCACAGCGAAATGAACCTCAAACTTATCCAGCATATGTTTTACACAGTGGATGCCCTTCTAGCTGCAACCCAGTATTGGAAAACATCCATACACACTCATTCACACACATACACTATGGCCAATTTAGCTTATTTAATTCACCTGTAGCGCATGTCTTTGAACTGTGGGAGAAACCGAAGCACCCCAATGAAAACCCATGCAAACAAGGAGAACATTCAAACTCCACACAGAAATGCCAACTGACCCAGCCGGGACTCGAACCAGCGACCCTCTTGCTGTGAGGCAACAGTGCTAACCACTGAGCCACTGTGTCGCCTTCCTTATGTAAGCTCAAGAATCATAATCCATAGCATTGCATGTATTTACAATCAAGCCCAACAGTATTCATACCTTGCAAATTCTGAATTAAAGTTATAGATTAAAGTTAAAGTTAATTAAAGTTCTATTCAACCAGCAAGTTTTTTTTATTTAATTTAAAAAACTTTTTTTTTTTTTACCAAAAATAAAACGGGCTTATCACAAAAGATAATAAGATGATGTACTAGAGGCATTATTGTGGAAAAAAGTTCATTAAGTAAAACATATTTCTTTAAGTAACTAAGTCTGAATAGACTTTAATTGTTTCCTAATATTTAGATTTTTAAGTATTAGTTCATGTATATCATTATTGTTGAAAACATTTGTGCTGCGTAATATCTTGCAAAACTTGACTATGTATATATATTTTTTTCAAACTAATGTGTTATATTATAATATTCCAGTACCTAATTGTGGTTAGTGCATCGACATAGCACTAAAGGGACCTGAGTTTGTTTCCCAGCTCAAGGTCCTTTGCTGATCCTTCCCCTCTTTCTCCCCATATAATTATATATGATATAATATGAATTAAAATAAAAGTCTTTACTATTACTTGTGATTTATTTTAATGTATTATTGAGCATTTGAATGCATTTTGAGCATTTAAATTCATCATTGCTGAATAGAAGTATTAACAGAACCCCAATTTTTAAGCAGTAGTGTAAATAATGCAGTCATCAATCTGTTGAAACACTTTTTTGCACATGTAATATTTGTGACATTTACTGTTTTATTTTTTGTTTGTTTTCATTGACCCAATTAACCAGAGCATTAGGCAATCTCAGTATGTTGACACTTGAGATTTTGTGAACGGTTTGCACGAGGCAGTAATATAGTGTTTGTAAAACATGCAGTGTGACTGCTAGTAGCTGGCAGGCAGATTCAGGCCATTAGCTGAGCCCAGGAGCAGAAGCTCACAGGCCGACTCGCGACTATTTTCACATACTGCAGTCAATTTCTGCCCACTTTACAGTAACTTCATCCTCTGCGCTTAGAGGGGGAGACCACATCACCTTTCAGGCCCTGCTAAAGCGCGTTCAGCTGCGGATGAAGCACTGCTGAATATGGGCACGAGATGCTGACTTTTAATAAACCAACACAATAGAAGGAAAATAGAAATTGACAGTTTGATGACAATTATTTCCACGCTCGTCTCCCTCTCTCCTCTGTTTAGCCAAGTGTGCTGACGCTATTGGAATAATGGGGTCTTGGTGTGTTGTTTCAGTTAATCTGCTTAAATTTGCCTCACTGCTGTTGTCGGAAAGATTTCTCTATAGCTATATGTTATCTCATTACCACAGAAGTTACTTTTCAAATGTTCCGCCTGCCATTCAAATGCACATGAAGCTGCACAAATCAAGTCCAAATCTGACTTTGCCAGTGGTTTTGAGAAAAAGATTGTGCGTTATCTAAATTTCTGCTAGAAACTAAAGGATTACGATTGTAAGCAATATTTTAGGTCGCCACACACATTTATGGCAATTTTTAATTTTTTTTTCTTCAAGTTGCATCTATTCTTTAATAAAAAAAAGCTAAAGTAATAAATTATTTGTTACCCCTATTTAGGGATGTCCAGATCCGATTACATGGTTTCAGACTCGATTGGAATCTTATGTTACCTCCTGATCAGGACTTGATTACAATATATGAAAAAATATATAATATATATATATTCATTCATTCATTTTCTTTTCGGCTTAGTTCCTTTATTATTCAGGGGTTGCCACAGGTTCAGCGGAGTGAACTGCCCACTTACCCAGCATATGTTTTACTCAGCGGATGCCCTTCCAGCTGCAACACATCACTGGGAAAAATAATATATCTCATTATTTTTTTAACACCTAGTTCTGTGGTGACACTTTCTGACTTCACGCAGAAGCAGCAACATGTGTGGCATGACATCACTTTGTTGCAGAGACGCTATTGGTTAAATGCTGGCAAAGTAGAACACGGAAGCAGCTTGAAGTGGAAAGCGTGAGTATGTTTGCGGTCTGGAGGTATTATTAAGTTGATGACGACAACATCCCATTGCCAACGTTGTGAGATGTAAACTTGGTATTGCAAGAGGTGGAAAGGAAAAAGCTACATTCAACACAACAAACCGAATAAGACGCCTCAAAAACAAACGTAGATCCTCGATTTAAAATGCCGTCTCACCACTATTCTCACCACCAGCCCTTTATAACAAGATTTCTGATAAATTACTTGTCCTGTTATAAGATGTTTCGTTCACCACAGACATATGGAGTTCATCCTTATCTCCCATGTCTCAACTAAGCCTTTATGTAATATAGAAGTATCGGATCCTGTTTCGGTACCGGTAGATACTTAAAATCAAATGACTCGGACTCTGACTTGAGGGCAAAAAAACCTGATCGGGACAACCCTACTTAATTATTTAGAGTATGATATGAATGAATAAAATAAAGGAAAATACAATAACAGATAGGTCTATCACGATATCTATATGTTGTACAATCTATTGCACTAAAATATTGCGGTAAAAGATATTATTGTTATTTTTATGCCACTCATTATTATATAATGCTGGAATGACACCATAAAATGCTTACAATGCAAGTACAGTAAAAGTTTAGATGCAAAAGATTCATGTTTTTGAAAGAAGTCTATTATGTATATAGATTGTGTTTGATCATCAATTAATTAAAATAGTAAAGTATTATTAGTTTAAACTGACTGTTTTCTGTTTTATTATATTTGAAAATGTCATTTGTTCCTTTGATTGTATTTATAGTAAATACTATAGTGTTTTATTAACTATACTGACATTGATACCTTCAATAGAGATAGAAATGTTGTACAATCAGCACAAATTTTGTTTTATTTATTTATTTTATTTTGACTTGTATACCTATTTTTATTTTATATATTTTGTTTTATTTTTATACATTATTTATATATATATATATATATATATATATATATATATATATATATATATATATATATTTTTTTTTTTTTTTTTTTTTTTTTTTTTTAATTGTTATTTATATATTTTTTCCAACATTATTTCACCATAACAAATCACAATATTAAAACATTATAAAGCAACAAAGTAAACATTGCCATACCTCATCAACAGGTAATCATTTTTATTCAACGACATTGCAACAGGGCCAATGTTTAGTTTATTTTTACTTTACATGCTGTCTTCATTTGGATTTTATAATATGTTAAAGTAAAATTAAATAAAAGCTTGAAGTTCTACAGTTTTAAATCAAGATATTAATATCATTAATTAAATAATAATAATTAATTGTATTTTCAATTTACAGTACAATAGTTTTATAAGAGTATACTGTAAGTCTTGTTGTGTCACATGTTTGTGTAAAGCAATACATAATACAGAAAAACAAAATGTTCGTTCGTGTCACATTTATTTAATATAGTCATCTTCTGTAATGTTTAATAGTCACATTACATCACATGTAACAATTTCTGTTTTCCAACCCTAAAATCAAGACCTTGTAAAAATGATAATTACAACTTTTGTTATACCATTCAAGATACTTAACTAAATTTGAAGCTTTTTTGGGGCCCTCGGGTACTTATTATGTTCACACATGTCTTCTTAAATGCAGTATTACAAGAATGTAAATTTATACTATAAGAAAAACCTCAGGGGTTGTTCTCATTACAAAAGCGGTCTTGTATGAATTTAATGAATAGATACTGACACCGTTTTACCCATACATCTGTTAATTTTAGAGGGGAAGGGCTGTTTAATCAGATAATAGTAATTATAGCAAGCCATTCATCAGAGCTGTATTGTCATATCATGACCACCTGTGTGTGTGTGTGTGTGTGTGTGGTTTCTCGAACCCCTCATCAGGCCACACTGAAAGCTCAGCAGAACAGAAACACCTCAAATTAACAAACCCCTGCTCAGATCCACCTCATGTGTTCGTTTGTTAAATATTTTGGTTCATTTGATTATAGTTTCAGCTACCAGTAGGAGTATATGACTCTAAAAGGTTTTTTATACATTGTGCTATACTACTTTGTCAAATCTAGCTAATTATAATTATCTATAAATATATTTACCTGATTACATAAAATTATATGGTTTATATGGTTGTTTTACCCACTTATAAATAATAAATAATAATAATAATAATAAATAATTGGCAAATAATAGCAGTAATAGTATTATATAGCAATATTTGTAGACCAATAATAGTAATATTTAATGTATTGTTATTGTTGAAGGCTAATAAATAAAATAACAAATATATAAAAGAATATTCAATCATTCTTATTATTATTCTTATTTTTACATTAGCATATAAATAAACAACATCACACGAGTAGCAGTGCGATATGGCTGTATATCGGCACTGGTGGGAGGCATGCGTTGCCTTAGTGCCCCCACCAGTGCCGATATACAGCCATATCGCACTGCTACGAGTGTGGTATTGCGTTTATACAACAGTTTGACGGTATGATTGTGTATATAAAAACAAAATCAAACATGGAGAGTCTCAAAAACCCTTTTGTATGAGGAACCACTTTCCGCATTGGATTCAAATCATAAGCTGACTGTTGAGCAAGCTGAGCAAGCATCTTTTAAACTTTAGATCTGTAGTCTGCTTGTTGCTGGCTGCATGTGGGCGGAGTAATACACAGGGTAAAGAGGCTGTACGGGTGCTGATATTACTTAAATATATCACTGCTATCAGACAATCAGATTCGAGAACCAGACAGAACTGTTGTATAAAAGTATATTCAACACATTTATGTGAATGTTTATTATAGGTAATTGTTATAAATGTTATAAATAAACTGAATGTGAATTACATGTAAGTGTTTATTATTACAACAAAATTAATAGAAACATTATTATTGGTAATGCTGTACCATGAGATATATATTTATAATGTGTTTTATTCTATTACTCAAATAATAATAATAACAATAATAATACCGTACAATATTCTACAATATCTGTAGTTACTTTTATACTTTATAAACATTATTATTGTTATTATATTAAAATTCTATACATTTTTCTAAATGTAATTAGAAATGTCGCTTCATGCAGTATCTACATAAATAGTAGTATTTTTATAATAATTATTATTAGATTTAGATTAGATTATTACTAGAATTTTATTATAATTTTTACAATAATATATTACTTTTTTTTATTATTTAATTTTTTTATTTTATTCATTATTCTTTAAAATAAAGGTAATACATAAGCAGTTTTTGAAATATTTATAAGGAAAAATAATCAATTGCTATGTTTTTGTAAGTAGTTTTTATTCTGTTAATGTCGGAGAGCAGAAAGCTTCTGGTCCAGTCTGATTTTGCTTCGTTTGTAGTGTTCAGCTCCAGACAAGAGATTTCTGCTGGTTTTTCCTGATTTAGCTCATCGGTAAATAAAAGCTATGCCATGTGGTTGCCATGACAACAGGTGGTTTTGCACGTCTGTGCCAACTTGTTAATTGCAGCAGTTGTCTATAGGCTTGTGAAGCTGCGCTTGTAAAATAACTTACAGATTCACTGTCACTTTCTACCAGAGGGCTTCCTTCTGACAAACCGCTGTCACACATTATATATGCAGGAGTTGGAGGTTCTGCATTACATAATCACATTAATGCATTCTTATTTCCTAGAAAATATCTGAGTGACTTTTTCTAAAAAGTAACACCATTTTATTAGTTTTTTTTATTTATAGACTGACATCTCCTCTGTGCTGTAGTTTTATTCACTTCACATTTCACTTTTGATGAAAAAGAGCTTTACATTTTTCAAAAATGTAAATTTTTATATATTTATTATTAAAAAAGCAAGCCCAGCCCAGGTGGATAAAAGAGTAGCACAACACATTTTCCAAAAAAGTAAAGTCTACATTTAGTTACTTTTTTAAAAAGCAATGCAAGATTATAATCTATTACTTTTAATTGAACAAGAACTGAATCACTCGTGTTTTCATTCTATCAGTGCTTTAAAGATTGTTGTGCTTTTTTAATAACTGATGCTACATTTGATCAGAACATATGGACAGGCAATAATGTGTTTTTTTTAATTACTAAATTATTAAAAATAATACAAAAAATAGATATTTCCTGCAAATTTTTATTTAACTTTATAGAGTAAAAGCACATTTATTAAACGATTAATTATTTCACCACATTTGAGATGATGCTATATTTTTGTAAACAGTTTTTCTAAGCATAAGATTTGAAGAAGCATTCACAGGGTGTCTGCAGGCATTTAAAAAGTCTTACAATGTCTTAAATGTCCAAAACTTAATTTTAGGCTTTAAAAAGTCTTGACTTCACTGAAATTTTGCCTTGTAGGTCATAAAGCATTTTAATCAGGTCTTCATTTTCCTTTGTCCATGTGCAGCTATCCAATCAGGCCGACACCCATCCAGTAAAACTTTTAACAAAACTCCATTTATTACTTTTATTTACCAATATGGTATCTTCCTGACAAAAACATTGGATTAAAAGTTCTTATTTATAGACCATATGTGACCATATTTATAGACCATATGTGACCATATTTAAGTTCTTATTTATAGACCATATATAGACCATATTTATAGACCATATATGGTGAGGAGGACACAAACCTGGACAGACTGTTGTAAATACATTTAGATTATTATAGTTTTCTAAGTTTATTTAAGTTTTCTTTAGTTTTTTTTTATGTATGTATACAACTAGGGTTTGCTTGTTTTACACATTATTTAAAATATGTGGGTAAGTTAGTATAATTAATGACTAATTATAATTTTTTTCATTGGCCAAGCAAACATCTTTTCCATTAGAAAAAATCCTTAATCATTAGCCCTGCATAAGTCTGAAATTTCATTGATAATGGTCTTAAAAATGTCTTAAAGTCTTCAATTTGACTTTGTGAAACCAGCAGAAACCCTGAATTAGTTAAAATAAAAAAATAATAATAATTAGATTTCTATGAATTATTCACTTTATTTCTATTAATTGTTTAAAACTTTGACCAGTAGTGTATGTACTATTTGTTGTTGTTATAATAAAATATTAATACTGTTGAAAAAAAACTGAAACCAATTTGCAACATTGACACTATCAGCTTGCAGTTTTAATGGATTTTTAATTGCTAAAGCTTAGTTGATGTCTTATTTTGCTGTATTCTCTAGTAATCTACCTATATATGTATATAACATTTATTTTTTCTGAATAGTAATGTAAAAAGAGGGACGATTTAATTGAATCTATTTGTATCAAGAACATTCTTGTTCACTTTTCACTCTCATTCATACCAGGAGGAGCTCAGCTTTTCAAGATGAACAATTAAATATTTCAAAGGGCTATTGATCTCTATTTGCCCTGAGATGTGTTTCAGTATGTGATTTTTCATCAATGATTTTAAACTGAATAAGGCTCTTTTGTTCTGACTTCAGTGCTTCCTCTATCTCTGGCCTGGTTTGATCATTTTAACTCTAGCTCACTGCTGCCACCCTCAGGTGTGGATTGGCATCGCTAAGAAAGCGCTATGCGTTTAACATGCTCGTTAACATCTTTATATACCATAACTCTTAATTGGTGCACAATGCTCAAAGTGTACCACTTAATAATCACATGCCAGCATTTAAACATTTGACCTGACTGACTTTATTGAAGAGAAAACGATAGATGGCATCTGTTATCTTCCGTTCATCATACTGTAAACAAACTAAAACTCTTCAGAAGAAAGAATCCTGTTTGCTCCTTTCTTAAAATAATAATTTGGATTATAACGTTTAATAACTCTGCGCTTGATCCCAAAGTCTCAGATTTTCTTGAAAGGGGGTTTTATAAGATTCATGAGTTTTTAAATGAAGAGTGTCTGTTTAATCTGAGTTTATACAGAGCTTTCTTTTAAACGATAGGAAGTGATGAAGCAGCTTGTGCAGAACTGTTATGCCTCAAAGGAAGATTATCCCTTCAGCAAGACTCTCTCCCTTCTTCACTGTCTTCAACTGTCTTTGGAGTTTTTTTTGCCTCCGCACAGGAAGATGAAAGCCACAAACGTCTGACATCTTCCTCATTTCACAGCATTTTACAGCCAAAGCTTCTCACAATGCCTTCATTTATGTTCAGTCTTAAAGTCCCCCTGAAATCAACATTAATGTTTTTTGGGCTGTTAATGTCAATATGTTAGTCTTAAAGTGATTTATAAGCTAGTGTGTTTTAAAACTGCAACACAATTCACATTTAGTAGATATAAGCATTCAATCTTTCGTGTCTCACTTATGAAAATAATAAGAATAAATCGTTTTTAAGACATCACCTAGCTTCTTATCAGATCTTCTGACCAATCAAATGTGTTCTTGTATGTGAAGCATCCCGCTCTTCAGAAATGTTTTACAGAAACATACATTATCTGTCCTTGAAATAAAAACCATGTATACGATGATTAACAAGTATTTGATCCCCAAAAGATGTCTAAATTGGACTGATAGTTGATTTCTGTGAGCTGTTCTGTAAGGGAATATGTCATTCATTTGTTTCCCAGATTTCTTTTCTTTATTAAAAACACTTTATAAATGTTCAAACCCTGTTATTGACCATGTCCTCAGCCCAAATTAACCTACGGCTTTAATAGTTTTTGTTATGATAAACACTGTTATTTAGGGGGGAAAAAACGTCAGAAATGGCCATGTTAAGTTGTTATAATTCAAATTAATTGATTAAAAACATGAAATTATAGATAAATTCCACAAATAAATACTATTTTACTATTGTCCCCATGTTTGTCTGTCTGTCCTGTCACATTTTCATTAAATTTAACATAAAATGCGTGCAATACACCTTTAAGGCTCATTTTTAGATGTAAAAATGTACGTTTCTGATAGAATGATAGAAGCAGCACAATACAGTATGAATTTGTTTCCGTTGTTTCCATTCCATAACAGCAAACTATAATGCATTAAGTTAGGCTCACCGCAGAACACTGATTGGTTTACAGAGAATTGTCACTTGTGTGTGCAACAAGCCAGAGAAACGACAACTCAGGAATTGCCATTTTTAAATTCACAGCCATCTATTTGTTATATATATATATGTTGTCTAAGACAACATAATAACACAATCTTAAACAAAGCTTGTTGTCATTTTGACATGCTAAGAAGCAAGAACATCATCTGCAGTATGTCCTCCATTGTTGTTTACGAGGCCATTCATATGTAGTGTCAAAAACATCTGTGAATCATAATTTCCTCTTGTGTTTGCATCTATTGTAGTATACTCACTCTGTGCTCAAAAACCAAGGGTCATAATGGCAGCCACAGTAGGATCTCAATAGAAACTAAACACAAACCAGTCATATTTCCATCTGTTTCAAGCTACGTCTATTTGCATCACATATCAACAGAACAAAACAGAGATATGATCACAAACTTTACTTGTAGGTACCATGTTATGGGTCATGATGGTATCATTGATGGTACCATTATGCTACCAGCACAAATCGATACATTTTCCTTTCTGACTGGTCTTTGAAGTAATTTCTGTCGAAGCACAACCCAGGCATGTCTCCTTGTCGTTTAGTAAAGGCTGGTTTATACTTCTGCATCGAATGTGCCGTTTTTTTAAAGTTGCGCATCAGCCATAGTGAGAGGTACAGAAGGCTGTACCAAGCCTTAATGCTATATTTCATTGCACAACAAATATCCAGCTTTTTGTCAAAAAAAAAAGTGTAATCATTCAACCTTGTGACAGCACATAAAAAACTATCAATTGAGCTGAATGAGGACTGGTTTCATGTTTATTAACTGCTCTGGTCTAGAGACATCATGTGCGATATGTCTCTCACAGTCTTCATGTTTCAGTTAAAATTATGTCTCAGTTTTGCATTTCATGTCACTTCAGGTATGTAGAGACATCTGGATGTGTTCTGCCCTGTGATCAACAATTGGTCTCTAGCTTTGTTCCCTGAGTACACAATACAAAACTTTTGCTTTGACTTTACGATTCTTTTTTTTCTTCGATTGGACCATTTTTCTCTTCAAGGTCGACTATCACTCTTGACCTTCTCTTTTGACTCTGTGCTTTAAGGGAAATGCTTGGCTGTGGAAAATGAATGAGAGTCATTTCTGCGGCTGACGGCTAGCACAGGCCTGAAGCCATGTTTCTGCTCTGTGCTCAGATGGTGCCGGTAAATTCCCTGTCCCTCGGGAATGTTTATAGGCCATTTTGTACCTTACTTGCAGCCTGGAGCACCTGGTTTTACATCAGACTCCAATGGTTGCTACATGTGCATGTTCACAGAGGCCTTGAAAACTGGCCGAGGTTTAGAGGGATAGTTCGCCCAAAATAATAGATATTTGTCATCATTTACTTTCTTTGTTGTTGTCGTCATGTTTGATGTTGTTGCTGCAAGAGTTGTTGGTGTTACAGTTTCATATAATAAAGGTCATTCAATTTTTTTTTTTTATATATAAATCTGTTATCGTTTGGTTCTATGGGTCTCGTCAATCAAATCTGATCTTTAATTTGTATTTTCTATTGGATTCAGGTAAGGTCATTGGGTGGGCCATTCTACAGCTTGATTTTCTTTCTCTGAAACCATTTAAGAGTTTGCTTGGCTGTTTTGGATAATTGTTTTGCAGAAATGTCCACTCTGGTTTTATTTTCAGCATCCAGATAATGTAGTTGTCGGACTGAAGTAGCTAATATTTATTTACTATGAGGAAGGGCAGAGGGTTGCTGAAGAACTACTAAGAGATTTCAGCAGCTCTCTGGGCTTTCACTGCTTTTCTACACCTCTATTTCTTCATGTGTTCAATACTTTTTTACCTGTGTCATTTCATTTTATTATGCATAACTTAATTTGTAAAGCAATTAGATTGGGGGGGTGGGGTTGTTTGTTTTTTATTGGGGGAAAATTCAAGTCAACGGCACCTTTAGTAGTATGCTTTCTGAGAAAAAATGGTGACGTTCAATACTTTATTTTCCCTGCTATAATAATAATAATAATAATAATAATAATTAGACTATTTTTATATTTTTATATTTTATATTTTTAATTTGTATCTAATAAAGCAACATCCAACCACAACAATAATAATAATAATAATAATAATAGCTATTTTTGTGTTATATATTTTAATTTATGCAATAAAACGAATACTGTATGTTACCCTTGACCACAAAAAAGTCATTAGTGTAAGTTTATGTAAATTTTCATTTATGCATTATCTAAACCTGAAAAAATAAGTTACTTCAAAAAATCCAACTATTGGGATTTTTGTCTTTTTAAAGTTGTCTAAATTAAGTTCAAAGAGAATTGTACAAGTTTTGATCTGCTTTAAATATAAAATTTATCTTCATGGAATATTTTTTACATTTAATATTCAATTTATTTTTGGCATAAAAGAAAAATCTATCCTTTTGACCCATACAATGTTTTTTTTGGCTATGTTCAAAATATACCAGTACAATATAAGACATGGTCCAGGGTCAGATAAATGGATGGCTGGATAACTTTTCACTTGACAACATCACTGCAGACTGTAGGCAATCTCCTGTCCATGATATTGCATAGCATGTTCGAGCACAATTAGAGGAATTATCCTGCTGTAATTGGTGATTTTGGTGAACGTCAATCACACATGCTGAAATCTATATGACGATGCTTCTGTGGCTAATTTGAAGCATTAGCATTCAGTCCATGCATCCGATGTGCTAAGATGAAGATGAGGCTTTATTTCTGATTGAGCTCTTGCCTTCATAATCATTCTTCCTGTTGACCTTCAGCTCAACGGTGTATTTCATACAGCAGATTGACATTAATACAATTATAATTTACACTTTTGTTGACGGTGATGGATAACTCTGGTTATTTGCCACAGGACTTGCTGTGTCTGTAGGGCTTCAGAAAATAAATGCAATGCATTTGTTAAAAGTTAATTGAAATGATTGTCTATGATGCATAGTGCGTCCAATATTGTAATTTATTGTATAATTACATAATTTTTTGTTGTTGTTGCAGTATACAGATAGCTCTGTTGTAATAGCATAATGTGCATTTTGCTTTAAAATACTTTTTAATTTTTTTTTATAATTCATAAATTAATAATAAAGAATTTGTAATTATTCATTTATTTTCTGATGAATAATAATTCATATTTAGTATTTTTATGTAAATTTAAATGTTTTCATTAAGCATTTGATCAAATCATTATTAATCTATAGTATATGTAAGCTATTGATACTAAATATTAAATATGAATGCCAAAATTTGAAAACTAAAGTTAAATGTTATTGATCGTGAAATCATATCATTATATTTAGATGGTATTTTGGATTAATAGATGATGTTATTAGGTTAATATATTATAAAAATATTTTAGAATACACACTATATAATAATTTGATTATAATCGTACTTAATATAAATTAATATAATGGTAATTATTTTGTTGTACACGTTTGGTCTGCTTTGTCCATTCAGGCTCAAGCATTGGCATATCTTTGTTTACAAATCTACGTTGGGTTAACTCCCATATCTACAAAATTACATTTGTAAAAAACCTATCCTTAGCTATGGCCTTCGGTCACTGGATATTTATTTACTGTCTGTTCCTCAAGTGCAGACTGAGATGGGGAAAAAAGGCTTTTAAATACGCAGCACTTTTTGCATAAAATAATCTACAAACAAAGTTGCTGTTTGAAGAATTGATTTCACTAAATGCTTTTAAAAAGAGTTTAAAGGATTTACAAATTGATTGTAGCTTGTAGATGTTAATTATTCAGGTTAACTGTCAATTGTTTTTTTTTTTTTTTTTTTTTTTTTTTTTGTTGTCTGTTAGACCCATGTGACATGTACTTCCTAATCTTGGCCAGGACACTCTTGAAAAAGTGTTTAAAAAATGTTAATCTCAACATGTCTTTTGAGAAAATAAAGGTTATAATAATAATAATAATAATAAATTATCATGGAAATACTGAGATTTATATTTATTCTAATACTGCATTCAGAAATTAAGACAATTCATAAGAAACAAACTATTTTATGTATTTAATAAATTGAAAAAGAACATACTTATACTTTATATAAGAATATCTATCATCAGTCTTTGAGAAAATAAATTATCATGGTTTTTATTATTTAAATTTAATATAAGGAATGACATGGAGACTTTTATTTTGCTGAAACACCATTTTAAAAGGCATTTAAGCTAAATGATTTCAAATGAATTAGCATAAGTTATTTATGTAATTAGAATATAGATGGACCATTAGGAATTCCTTCTGTTGATTCAGATGCACATCTCTCAAGCTGCTGTCTAAATTCACATCTGTATTCTTTTAATTGGTTTTTATGCTAGTAAACTTCACCTCATTTCACTGCTACTTGTACTAGCAAACAGAAAACATTTGTTAGGTCAAATTCTGTCCTTCACCTCTGAATAAATCCAGTGTCAATGTGTCTTTGGATGCGGACACAAGGCTGCACTATTGAGCCCAGTCTGGCTGAAACCCACATTCCTCTGAAATATGAGTGGTGTTATTCATTACCACACTACGCAGCTGTTTATGTTCCTTTCCACATATTCCCTATGGAAGAATTAATGATCCTCAAAATGCGGAGACTGATTAATATACAAGCTTATTTACACTCTGTTGCTGCCATGAAATGAGAGTGCTTTCGCAAACACTTTGTCATCTGCTTTGCTAATGCTTCATTAACTAGCACATACATTAGAAACTTTTGTTTTGTTGATTTCAAATTCATAGATTTCTGTTTCTAACTTGTTTTCTTTTTTTTTCCTAATCTTCAGACCACCAAAGCTGCCTGTTGTGGTCTCTGGAGTTGTCACTAAGGTAGGTGTGAATGTCCGTTCATTACTGCGTCATAAAATGGAGAGGTCAGGTCATCCCTCGTTCAACAGTTAGAGCTTTGCTGATCTACACCAGTGTGTTTAACTTTCTCAAACTAGCTTAGAGCAACTAATGTATTTAAATTGTTGTTTGTTTTTAAAAGGTCTAATATAATTCTGATACCTGAATAATTAATCAGGCTAAATATTTCTTTATAGTATTTAATAAAATGTAACTAATTTAATGGTCTAACAAAAAATGCATGTATGTATATATGTATGTATAAGTGTACACTTGAAAAATAACAAATGCTGGGTTCCACAAAATTCCTTCATGTTTGCTCAACACAAATCAATTTAAAAGGATCTTAATTGTGTATATATTACACTCATACATTCATCTTATTACAATATGAAAAATGTCATATTATGATTTAAGTGAGACTTTTCAAGACTTTTGGCCAGCGGAGAAATTAAAATGGTCGTGCCCAACTGAGTCTGGTTCTCAAGGTTTTTTTTCTTCACTCCCATCAGGTGAAGTTTTTTTTCCCTCTCCGCTGTTGCCACTGCCTCGCATGGTTCAGGATTGGTAGAGCTACGCATCGATGAATTGGCTCTTCAGTGTTTGAACTCTCAGTAATGATTAAATCACACTGAACTGAGCTAAACTGAACTGAACTGAACTTAAACACTAAAACCTGAACCACACTGTTCCAGTTACTGAACCACACTGTTCCAATTACTATGACCATTTATGTGAAGCTGCTTTGACACAATCTACATTGTAAAAGCGCTATACAAATAAAGCTGAATTGAATTGAATTGACTAAAATTATCACTGTTGTCACTCATTTTTAGAAGCACACTTAAAGGGCCATGAAACCCGCCTCTTTTAGTTAATGTCCGTCTCAGATTTTTTTTTTATACATTTTTAAACATGTGCAAAAACAGCTGCACGGATATAGGCAATGTGTCTGAATTGTAATGAACTCAACTGTTAACAGACAGGGGGAAAAAACATGCAAAAAACCCTGTGGATTATGGAAACAACGCATAACTTTACAACCCTTCATGAACGGTTAAATACTGCTTGCCGTGCGTGGAAGTGGTCTTACCCAGTCATTGCATCTCACAGCTTGGCAGGTCTACCTTAACTTCAGAAAGCACATGCTCTCATAAATAAAAAGCTGGGTTTTTTCATAGGATAAGAAAACTTTGCTATGAATAATAATGAGAAACCGACAAGTCATTACTTCATAAGCAGTCGCTATGATCCCGCCCCAAAAATCATTTTAAAGATTAAATTAGCTGACAAAAGCTCAAAATTATCCAGTTTTCCCCACAATTAAAGCTGACAGGTGCTGACAGTGTCCTTACTGATGCTAAACACACACAAATCTGTTAAAATCTCAATTAAAAGTACTTGAGGGTGTCTTGAACCTTTAAGGAATTTCAAGTCAAAGTTTCAGAGCACATACAATATAGAACCAAAAATATTCAAACTTGTAAACTTGTTCTCTGCAAACAAAAGTTTTTGTTCAACATTTATTTTAATGTATAATTCACTCTATTAACAAACCGTTAACTACGACCTTTAGCTCAATAAACTACTAATTAGCTGCTTCTAAATAGTTGGTAAGGTAGTAGACTATTTAAGCCAGGGATGCCCAACTAGGGTCCAAGGGCCAAAGTTGGCCTGTAGTAACCTTTGATTTTGCCCGCCATCTAAGAATAGAGGAAGAATGATGGGCATGGTTTAGAGATTGTCATTTCAAATCTAATGTAACCTTTTGTTTCCTTCCTTTATTAACTGAAATTAAATGGAGTAAATGAATCCTATTTAAGCTGCATATTGTATGCATTCCATGATACACCGTGAGAGAATTCATGAAATGGGAGTAAAACAAAGCAACTGACGCAGGTATGTCACTTAATGATGACAATAGGCAGATGTAGTACGTCTCCATTCATACTACTCGCATTCATACTGTATAGAACATACTCCTCTAATGGTCGAGTAGTACATTTCAGTAGGTAATTTCAGATGCAGTCTCAATTTGAATGTGTACACTGTAATTCTGACTGTACACCCGACACATGGAGGACAAGTCAATGCAAAGGCAGATTCTGCTTGACTAGTGTATTCATCATTGAACTCCACAGTGTTATACATGTGATTGTTTATGTTTTTATTGCAGTAAGTTTTCATTTTAAATGTTATACTGCATTAGCAAGATGGCTTAAAGTTATGTTTTCTATTACAAAAAGTTTGGGCGCCCCTGGTTTAAATATTGGGAGGATTAGGGATCTAAAATAAGATACTTTATAAGTGCTAATAAACAGTTAATTTCTTAATAACATTCAGGTATTAATAATATTAATAATAGTATTAAGATTGATTATAGTTAATAATAAAATCCAAAGCGGTGCTAAACCTGCTTATATCTAAAATCCCTCATGCTCATCTGATGTTCAGACACAGATAGATGGTTTCTCAGATAAAAGCGTTTCCGTCTTGCGTCACATATTGAGATGATGATATGAATGATGAGGTTTCCTGAATGTCTCATCACATTGAGTCCATTTCCAGCCTGAACTGACCTTAATCCTCTCCGCCGCCACACGATTGGCCACGTCTCAGGATTTATTATGTTTTGATAGATACTATGACTAAATGCATCAATCTGCGCGTGCAACATCATGAGAGGGACATTTTATTATTAAATGTGAATGTCAAATGTGCAAGGGTTTGATTGCATTTCACTGCTATTACAAGTGACTTTGCAGGACGATGCACATGGAGTCTTTTACTCTGGCGTTGCTCTCTTTTTCCTTTCCAAGTGATCCAAACTGCTTCTAGTGACACAATTTATGCAATATTTGTTCTCTAAATAGTCACATCTGAGGCTCTTTTTGTCCTCCGGCGAGCTGGTAAGCAGACAGAAAGCTGAGAAATGGCTCGCTTTTGTTCAGTGTTGGCATGTGGCACATCTTGGACTGTCCATCCCATAATCTACTTCAAAAGCTCCGCATATTTGCTCTGAAAGACTCACTCATACAGATTAAAGCGGTGTTGAAGAATGTCTGTGACCGCTGCTTTCTTGTTATTTGGGCATCAGTTGACTGCATTCAGATGCTTTTGCGTGCCGTTTTCTTTTCATCTTAATAAACTTGAAACTAAGGCAGAAAAGGGGCTTTTAACTACACTGCAAAACATGTAGTTGATATTAATCGTTGTTTTTAGACGCATCTTTTTAATCAACGCTTAAATGTTTAATGCTCTTTTTTTTCTGATCTTTTCTGTAATGCTTATGCTCAGCTTTCTGTCTGCTTGTTTATTATTGCTCTGTTGATTTTGATAGCTTACAACAAGCAGTGTGGTCAATTTCAAATACATCGTTTTTTAATGACTTCATTCACCATCAACATTCTACTCCACCTAAAAAAATCTAAATGTATTGTGCATTTTTTCTTCATAATTCAGTACTAAATATCATTCTTAGGCTGCGTCATTAAATGAAAAAGTTAGTCAGATCTTTTTATATTGGGTGTATAAACTTAGTTCAAGGTTGTCCGAACTCAGTCCTGGAGGGCCGGTGTCCAGGAGAGTTTAAGTCCAACCCTAATCAGACACACCTGAACCAGCTAATCAAGCTCTTACTAGATATACTAAAAACTTCCTGGCCCTCCAGGACCGAGTTTGGACAGCCCTGACTTAGTTGATGTCAGAATTATTAGCCCCCCTGAATTTTAACCCCCTCTTTATTTTATTTTTCAATTACTTTTAAACGTAGAAGAGATTTTTTTTTTTTTCTACACATTTCTAAACCTAATAGTTTTAATAACTCATCTCTAATAACTGATTTCTTTTATCTTTGCCAAGATGACATTAAAAAATATTTAGCTGGATATTTTTCAACACACTTCTATACAGCTTAAAGTCACATTTAAAGGCTTTACTAGGTTAATTAGGTTAACTAGGCAGGTAGGGTAATTAGTCTACAGACCATTGTTATACAATAACTTACCTATCAAAAAAAAATAGCTTATAGGGGCTGATAATATTGACCGTAAAATTGTTTTTAAAAATTAAAAATTGCTTGTATTCTGACTTCAACTGTATTTGTATACACTCAAATAAATGTTTCCCTTGGATGGTTTGATTTTGAATGAAAAATAATCTGATGTAACTTTTTATAATTTGTTACTAGAACTTATTTGCTAGATTTTTAACTGAAAGTGTGGTCATCGGTTATTCATAAACTGTAATTCAATGGTTACCAGCATTTTGGAAGTATATTGGCTCTATTTTAACGATCTAAGTCCAACATCAAAAGCACATGGCGCAAAAGCATTAAGGACATAACTATTTTCTATTACTGTTACTATTTACATGGCAGAGTTTTTAAACGGAAAAACTGAACACTTCTCTAGTGAGAATACATTTAAACAAACAAACAATCTGCACGAGGATAAAGAATGGACCTCCTCCATTTGGCCTCTTTACTTTGTCTTTACTCTTTACTCCTTACGTGGATAAGGAAACGGTGTTGTGCCCACTCCACTGAAGACATTCATTAGCTTACATATTTAGTTTCATTTGTTAAGCGCAAAGATTTATTTTTAAAACTATTTCTAAATTCATTTCTAATTTTCAGCAAATGAATAAATGAAAAATAATAAAGATCTGTGATCAAAAAACCAAGAGTTGTATCCAAACACATGTCTTAACCTTATCCCCCATATGGTGACATATCTAAAACCTGACAGGTGGAGAAATCTAAATTTGATTTTATCCAAATAAATATAAATATGCATATAATAAAAAATAATATTAATAATAATATTATACAAATGCAAATAGGCATGAATGATCTGAAAAAATGATGGAGGCAGTGGTTTTTATATGTAGAAAAAAATAATTTTTGTAACGTTTTAATCCTTCAGTTTTTGTTTTTTTTTCATGTAAAATATTTGTGTATTGCTGTACATCTTGTGTGTATTAAGTAATGTGTAAGCATTTGGACCCTCACAGGCACATAACTAATGCACTCTGCACTGGACTTTAGACCTGCTTTTAGTTGGTCAATGATGCAGTGTATTTCAGTTTTTTTTTTTAAAAAGCAAAGTGCCAACAATGCGCCTTAACACACCTCTATTTTAGACCAGCACACCCATGAGTTCACAAAATGGCACAAAAGGATTTGCTATTTAAACAATGTGGTGCAAAATGTGAAAACTAAAGTTGCCTTGGACTAAAAATTGCATCAATTATTGGTATTAATGTACTTAACTGCTGACAAATCATTTACCATTTCCCTTTTTTATGCACAAATGATAATCCTGCATTGCCATTGGTTGTTTTCAGGGAGATAAAGACTTCACCCCTGCTGCTGCCCAGGTGGCCCATCAGAAACCTGTGCCTTCAGCACAGAAGCTGCCTGCTGGCCAGCACCTTAACCAGCACATCCACCAGCCCAGGAAATGAGCCTTCAGCCGCTCCAGAACATCACGGGCCCCCCCACATGGGGCCAGGACCACACCACCCCAAACACCTGCTCAGGTTGCCAGGGTTCTCTTGCCGTCAAACATTCCTTACGCCCCCTCCCCCTCCCTCCGTCTGTGCCTGCAAGTGTCCATTTTCGACCAGTATCATGACAAACATTCATTTTCTTGTTTCGTATCTGTAAATCATCGCAACACTAAAAATCGAAGGCTTCATTGCAGATCGCCAATCAGAAACATTCTAATTCCATGGGTTCATTTCATGAGGGATTTGTGGATGTTTTATTTTCTTTTTTAATTTTACATGAATCGTTCCAGAGAGATGTAAATTGTATAAATCAGTTTTGTTTTGTTTTTTTGAAGTTGGTGAATGTTGTATATTAGGCATTAGGTACTAGGTGTGGCTATCTGATATCTGAATAAAGAGTTAATATAAAACCACGCACGCCTTTGCTCTTAAAGACACTTTTTTTTTGAGCCAGAATTGCATTACATGAAAATATCGGTGCTTTGGCAGATTAGTGTTAAAATGCTGAGCTGAAATGCGGTCTGTGTTTAGTGGTCCAGGTTGAATTTATTTCAGAAATTTGCCTATAGACTGAATAAAACAATTTCAATAGTTTTCTTCAAAGCATTCATATTATTGAATTGCACTTCACAAAGAAAATAAGTGCTAAAAATAAAGCACATACAATGCATAATTGATCTTAATATACATTTAAAGTCAGAATTATTAGTAATTATTATCAGAATTATTAGTAAATAATATTTGATTTTTTTTTTCTTTTTTTTGAATAGATATTTTTCAAGACACTTCTATACAGCTTAAAGTGACATTTAAAGGCTTATCTAGGTTAATACGGTTATCTGGGCAGGTTAGGGTAATTACGAAGGTTATTGTATAACAATGATTTGTTCTGTAGACTATTGAAAAAATATAGCTTAAAGGAGCTAATAATTTTGACCTTAAAATGGGATTTAAAAAATTAAAAACTGCTTTTATTCTAGCCGAAATAAAACGAATAAGACTTTCTCCAGAAAAATATATATGCATATTATCAGACATACTGTGAAAATGTCCTTACTCTGTTAAACATTATTTGGCAAATATTTAAAAAAAGAAAAAAATCCGAAGGGGGGCTAATAATTCTGACTTCAACTGTATGTGTAAAGTATCCCTCTTTATTAAATATACATAAAGTACACTGAAACAAAATGAAAATTAACTTAAAAGGTAGTTTGTTTTCATGCTGTTTTGAGCTGTTCATGACAGCCATTCAACCAGGAATAATTGTAGAAATTTGTGGCGAATAAAAAGCAGGGGACTTTAAATACTCTCATTGCGAGCACTGTAATAAAAAGTTAAAACAACTGCCATGTCTGTTTTGTCCTTTTAAATGTTATTAATGAAGGTAGTGTAGAACTGTGCTCTCAGCACAGCAGGGAAAGTTCATGTGTAATCCCATGGCCTAGTTTTCATGCTCTATAGACGAGTGGAGGGTGGCAAAGCCGTCAGCTTCCTGTTCTCCACAACCCTCTGAGCCACCCAACCTAATGCCACTCAGGATTTGCCCCGTTTTCTTCCTCTCTTCATTATCTCATGTTCTCAAGCTCTCCCCCTGTCCATTTTTGTCCCTACCCGTTCACTTTGTGTTAAGCTCAGGTGTTGATAAGAGCCAGCAGCTGCCGCAGGCCTCCGGTTGTTCCCACTGCATGTTTTGGGCCTAAAACAGCAAGACTTCTACGGTGCTTGCCATTAGCACACCAGCTGGCCAAACCTGCTGTTCCCCCTCGGCCAAGGTGAACCTCAAAAGCTTGAGTGGCAGCTAAACCCTTACGAAATGTCACGTTTCAGGTCAAGGTTGCTCTTTTCCACAGCGTGCTATCTGGAAATTGAGCACTGGCTTTGAAGGCAGTTCACAGCGACCCAAACCCTGAGGTCTATCTGACATTTGGGACTTTACAGTGTATTTGTCTTTGATAGGTTATCAGCACTGCCACAGATCCCACGTGTTGGGTGACCGACCGAACAGCATATTGCGGCAAAAGCCCGAATCTGAAAGCTTTGTCTTACCTTTTAAATCAAAAGCAGCATCTTACATTTCACTGTTGTGTATTTTTGTTTAGATATACAATTTAGGCATTCAAATAGGATGTTTTCACTGCAGCCATTGAACAACATAACTGAGCCAATGTAGTAATGAATGGTGATGTTAAATTTTCATTCAAGTAAAGTTATGGCTCATTTGCACTCATATATGTGAAATGATATGATATGATCCGGTGATTTGATTTGGTATGCAGAACTTTACAGCACTGTATGCATTTGTTTCCATTTCCACTGTTAAAAGTAGGACAATGGCAAACTGTGCCAGTTTTGGGACCCTTTTAAAAGGGTATAACACAACATTATGATACCAAAATGGTGGAACAAGACCAGGGATGGGCAAACTTGATCCTGGAGGGCCGGTGTCCTGCATAGACTTGCTCCAACCCTAATCAAACACACCTGCTTGTAGCTTTCCAGTGATCTTTAGGACACTGTTTGGTGTGTTCAGGTGTGTTTGATTAGTGTTGGAGCAAAAGTCTGCACGGACACTGACCCATTGAGGATCAAGTTTGCCTATCCCTTAGCTAGACTCCTTGCTGAACTTTGCAGATCGTTCAAGTTGGCCTGTGTCAAAATCATACTGAACTACTTAGTAGTAACTCAGTAGAAACAAGACAGTAGTTCACTTTGCTGACTTATTTTTTACGTCTCTAGCAGTTGAAGCGGGGAATCCAAGTATTGATATCAAACCAAAAATACAGGGGTGCCCAAACTCGGTCCTGGAGGGCAGGTGTCCTGCCAATTTTTAGCTTTAACTTCTCAACAAACCTGCCAGAAAGTTTCTAGTAAAGCCATGATCACACTGAACTTTTCACTCGATAGACTTCCATTTCGCAGTTCGCTGCGTTGCAAAGTTCATGCTTGGTGAACTGACCTGCGAAATCGCATCACATGGCTGCATTAGACCAATCGAAGATCAAAACATGACCTCTCTGAACAGAAATGTAAAATATGGAACGATCGCTCACTTTTTAAATGTTTAATGATCTAGTTTAATTCTGCCCCTTTTTGCAGCGCCGTACAACAGAATATTGCATGCTCAAACTCTAGTGCAGGGGTGCTCAATCCTGTTCCTGGAGAGCCACCCTCCTGCAGATTTCAGTTGCTACCCATATCAAACACATCTGAACCAATTAATTAGGACCTGAACACCACTTGATAATTACAGGCAGGTGTGTTTGATATGGGTAGCAACTGAAATCTACAGGAAGGTAGATCTCCAGGAACAGGATTGAGCACCCCTGCTCCAGTGTGACCATGGCATAAGACGGGTGTCAAACTCAATTCCTGGAGGGCCGAAGCCCTGCACAGTTTAGTTCCAACCCTGCTCCAACACACTTACCTGTAGGTTTCAAACAAGCCTGAAGGACTCAATTAGTTTGATCAGGTGTGTTTAATTAGGGTTGAAACTAAACTGTGCAGAGCTGCGGCCCTTTTGGAACTGAGTTTGACACCTGTGGCATAAGAGCTTGATTAGCTGATTCAAGTGTATTTAATTAGGGTTGGAACTAAACTTTACAAGGCACCCCTGCTATAATATGATACCAATCCTGATATGAACTCTATGCTAATGCAGGGATGGGAATACTTTGAGGGCATATGTCCTGTAGAATTTAGCGCCAAATCTTATCACCTCATTCAAAATCTCATTCATTTGGGTGTGCCCCCTCAGTAAAATTTGTTCAATGAGCAGTTTATCCTTGTTTAAAACATTTAATTAGAGGCTTCCCCCTTTCAACTTTTAGCACCAAAACTTCAATGTGAGGCTCTCCATGTCTCAGAGTTCCTTTTGGGCCCTTTTGCCCCAAATTATCCAAAGAACACCTCTCTAGACACTGGTCCTGTGTCTGAATGTGCCTATACTTCCATAATATTCAAAACATCCTTAGTATGTTGTATGTAGAAAATAAGGGATGCGAAATGTAGGGTGCTCTTCAAACTGGCAGTTTGGCCACAGGAGATGATTTGGGAATGACACTATGTAAGAACACTAATGTTGTCATCACGTGACAACATGACTTAGTACGTCCAAACTTCATTCATACTAGCCTATATATAACATGCTTTAGCTGTACCATTCATATCAAATGTAGTACTTTACAATTTCTGACAATTTAACATTGTCTGTTGTCCCATTCGCTGCAACCGAAGTGATGGGAGAATAGTTTTTTTTTTTTTTTTTTTTTTGAAAAGCCAAGATTTTCAGCCATGATGTGTTACATAGTCTATTATTGCATCAGGACTTCTAGAGACATCATTGAGAAGCCCAAAACAAGACTAAGCTTTTGTAGATAATCTAGCAAAATTGAGTTGTAAAATTAAATAAAACAACGTAACCTGGTCACTATACTTATTCAGTTCATTTTATTTAATGAACTGAAAGGGTTGTCTGTTATATCACTGGATCCTGAGGCCAAATGTGTGCCAGTCACAGAGCCTGTCATAGAGCTTATTGACTATCTGGAGCACAATAATATCATCCAGAGTATCTCCAAACAGTCTTTCCATCTAACACAAATCAATATTTAGCCTGTTTATAATAGCCTACTTTATCGCTCAACCGCGTATCCGCGAGACCGTGTCTACTGACCTGCAAAATGTACAATAAAAACAGGTAACCAGGTCGTCGTTCCACACGCGTGGTGCCTCCAGCAGAGGGCGCTTTATTGTTCTTCAGTCAGTTCTGGTGGTGTTATCCTGAGGCAAGTTGCTGACCTTGCAATACTGATAAATCCTTCAGCGTCTGTTAGCTCGTGCCAGTGACCTCAATAGCTTAATAAGGTACGTGCCTCACCTTTACTCCACCACTTACTGCTCAGGGTTCAGCAAATGGCCATGGGTTTTTTGTTGTTTCAAAGTCACAATGAGATTCGTATTGCAGTTGTTGGTCACAGTATTTTTTTTTAAAGATGTCACGTAGACACTTTAATTTAGCACTGGTTTTGACATCTATATCGATTGTGTGTTTTGTGCAGTCAGATATGGCAAGCTGTTTTAGCATTTAATAAGATAACGTATTTACATCCCAGTATTGATTCATAGCTGGTAACTTTTCCATCAAGTACTTGTACTTTAATTCTTTAGCTACTCGTGCTTATTCTTAAGGTACTTTTCCCACATGAAAATATACTCACTTTGTGAATCCTACTATGGTAAAGTATTATACTGTATAGTATTTACAACACTTTGTTAATGAATGCTTCAACATACCGTATTATTTACTAACTGATAAACTAATAGATAGTGTGTAGCTATTGTTGTATAATGTACCCTTACAAGTTATGTTTCCATCTGAAAGTGTGAATTTAATATATGCGCAAGAAGCGCAAAACTGG